AAGAAGAGGGAGTCAAGCTATTCTCCAAAGCGCCTGAAGGCAGGACAAGGAGCAACGGGTGGAAGCTAACCCAAGAAAGAAGCAACCTAGAACTAAGGAGAAACTTCCTGACAGTTAGAACAATTAACCAGTGGAACAACCTGCCTCCAGAAGCGGTGAATGCACCAACACTGGAAGTTTTTAAGAAGAAACTGGACAGCCATTTGTCCGAAATGGTATAGGGTTTCCTGCCTGAGCAGGGGGTTGGACTATATCCTCCAAGGTCCCTTCCAACTTTATTATTATTATTATTATTATTATTAGATAAGAGAGGGCTTAGCCTGCAACTAATGGGCAGAGAAATGAGACCGAGAAAAGAAATCTCAATCACTCGGGCTGTAAAAGAGAGAGGAGGAGATTTGTACTGTCAGACTTACCAGATTCTATTAATGTAAAAGTAAAAAAAGTAAAGGAATCCCTGCGGATTTCACTCTGCGAGTCGCTGCCGATTCCCGGGGGCGGTTCAAGGCCATTGAGCCAGCGCTGTCGGAAGACATTTCCGCAGTCATGTCCAGCGCAATGTCGCAAAGCGCCGTTATCTTCCCGCTGAAGTGGTACCTGTTTATCTACTCGCGTTTGCATGCTTTTTGGACTGCTAGGTTGGCAGGAGCTGAGGCGAGGACGGGAGATCACCCCCTCGTGTGGTGCTCGGGACTCGAACCCGGGCTGCCCCTTTTCCAACCGACAAGCTCAGGGTCTTAACCACCCTCTATTAATGTAGCCTTACAAAAAAGTACAGTTAGCCTCACCTGTCTGGTTCTACCTGGGAAGGCCGATAAAAGCTGATAGCCTTCTTCCATATTCAATTGGTAACGATGAAAATTTCCCTTCTGAAGATTCAGCGGTTTCCCCCTCCCCTCCCCTCTCCATTTGTCCCCTCCCCAAAGCTCCCTTAATTCAAATAAGGTTCCCCCAAATCCCTGCATTCTTGTGCTTGTCTCCCATGACAAATATAGTCTATTACCTTTTCCTTTTATTTTCACAAGCTCAACGGTGGTGGAGATGTAGCGATGCTGGAACTAACCGGGCAGAACTTCACTCCAAATTTGCGTGTCTGGTTTGGGGATGTGGAAGCGGAAACGATGTACAGGTGTTGTATAAGCTTGGCAACGTTACCGTAACTGTTTGACGTCTAGGTGGGACTCTGTAAAGGGAAGACGTTCATCCCTCATTCGTTCCCCTAAGTCAAGACATATCAAACACAAGGCCCGGGGGCCGGATGCGGCCCGCGAAGCCATTCTGGAAACAGTGAGGGAACGGCCCCCGCTGCCTTGGCCCTGGCCCAGGCCGGCCGGGAGCCAATGTACAATTTTGTGGTGGCCATCTATGCTGAAACGCATTCAGTCTTAGCTCCACAAGGCCATCTGGAAACAGCGAGGAACCAGCCCCTGCCGCGTCGGCCCTGCCCCCTGGGTGCATGCTGGGGAGGTGTCACCCTTTGTGAGGAATGAAGAAATGGACCATACAGCCCTCAATTTCATTGAGGGCCGCATCAGCATTGCGGTTGCCCTTGGGGGGCCGGGTGGGTGCGGCCTACTGGTTGGGCGTGGATGGAGTGGGTGTGGCCTACTGGGTGGGCATGGCCAGCTCTACATCGTTTGCGTCAAGGGTGCCTGTGGGGGCCTGGGCAGGAGTGGGACAGATCTGAGGGTCTGGCAGAAGGGGGTGGGATCGGGGCAAGCGCCAAGGCATGGTCCATTTCTTCATTCCTCACAAAGGGTGACACCTCCCCAGCATGCACCCAGGGGGCGGGGTCGACGCGGCAGGGGCTGGTTCCTCGCTGTTTCCAGATGGCCTTGTGGAGCTAAGACTGAATGCGTTTCAGCATAGATGGCCACCACAAAATTGTACATTGGCTCCCGGCCGACCTGGGCCAGGACCAAGGCAGTGGGGGCCGTTCCCTCACTGTTTCCAGGATGGCTTCGCGGGCCACATGAAACCACTTTGCGGGCCGCATCCGGCCCCCGGGCCTTGGGTTTGACATGTCTGCCCTAGGGGAAGTTAGTGACTTCTTACGCTTCTTCCTAGATGCGCCGAGAGCATGCTGTGCGTCGTCCCGGATATCTCGGCATTCCGGGAAGGATGGCGGTGGGTCCGCCAGCCCGTCCAGGTTCCGGTCACGTTAGTGCGCAACGATGGCATCATTTACTCCACCAGCCTTACCTTCACCTACACCCCAGAGCCCGGCCCCCGGCCGCACTGCAGCGCAGCGGGGGCCATCCTCCGAGCCAACTCAAGCCTCCTGTCCCCCAGCGAAGCGAACACAAACAACGAGGGAAGTTACACAAACGTCAGCACGAACCCCACCAGCGTCACGTCGACAGCCACCGTGGTTTCCTAACCACTGCTCTTTGTGCGGAACTTCTTAAAAAAAAACAAAACTTTTCAAGTGCTTCAAAACAATAAAACCGAACAACTTTTTTTGTGGTTTCGCGAGGGGAAAGAAAAAAGAAGAAGAAAAAGAATCGACCCCTCCTTGCCGCCGTATGTACTTTTTAAATCACCTACAAGTGCTGATTTTAACTCGAAGCCACAATAAAAAAAAATGAAATGCGTTGGGGGCCAGCACCCCTTTACGGAAAATCTATTTTTAGGT